CTGTCTCTCTCTCTCTCTCAATAATAAATAAATGTTAAAATAGGGGCGTCTGGGTGGCTCAGTCGGTTAGGCGGCCGACTTCGGCTCAGGTCATGATCTCACGGTCCGTGGGTTCGAGCCCCACATCGGGCTCTGGGCTGATGGCTCAGAGCCTGGAGCCTGTTTCAGATTCTGTGTCTCCCTCTCTCTCTGACCCTCCCCCGTTCATGCTCTCTCTCTGTCTCAAAAATAAATAAAACGTTAAAAAAAATTTTTTTAAAAAGCTCATTTTTCTCAAGATTTACTATATACAATACATTGTGCTAGATGATGCATCTTCACACATTCAACAAATATTCATTTAGTGCTGATTTTACCTCAGGAACCAAGTTTTGGAGCTTACATTCTTGGGAGAGTGGGCGAGAAAGATTTAAATACATACAAGACTAATATTCAAAATGGCCTGGGTTTGGGGACGCCTGGGTGGCTCAGCCGGTTAAGCGTCCGACTTAGGATCAGGTCATGATCTCACGGTTCGTGAGTTCGAGCCCTGAGTCGGGCTCCCTACTGTCAGTGCAGAGCCTGCTTCAGATCCTCTGTCTCCCTCTCTGTCTGCCCCTCCCCTGTGCTCTCACTCTCTCAAAAATAAACAAACATTAAAAAAACAAATGGCCTCGGTTTGAATCTTGGCTCTGCTACCTATCAGCTGTGATCTTGGGTAAGTTGTTTAATTTATCTGGACCTTAGTTTTCTCCTCTGAAAAAGAGGCATAATAAAAGTGCGAGCCCCATAGAGCTGTTGTAAGGATTAAATGAGCTAATGAAATCAGAAATGGTAGTGCTTGGTAAGCACCTAAGTGCTACCATTATTACCACTCAAATTCAGGTCCATGAACTTTCTATAATTGACTTCCATGTTTCCATTTAGGCAAGCATCTAAAACATAAGAACATTCTAGATCCTTTCACTGACCAAAGTATAACCATCACTGCCCACGACTGGACTTGTGTTTATGTTCCAGTTAGTGCCAAGTGGTTCTTTATTTTAATTGTGGTGCGATCATGAGAAAAAAAACCTGAAGTGCTGTGATAAAGAAATCATGGTTGGTAACATGAAGGCCAAACGACACCACTGTGAGTTGTGTAACCAATGGTTCCAGTTGGGGTGGGTGGGGGGGGGGCGGGAGAGAAAGGAGGTGGGACACATGGTAGCTGGTGAGCATGAACGCCACCCAATCAGGACCATGGCTAGTGGTCCAGGAACTATCCCAGCGAAACAAATGAATTAATAATGACATCTGCTAATGATGATCCACCTAGGTGAGTGGAGGTTGGGGGAATACACGGTGCTAATTTACAAATTATTTTAGTTTTGTGGATTTGTAAGAGTTATGCACGAGGCATAATTACACCTACTTTTGTTTGTTCATGTTTAAAAAGCATTACACAAATAATTTAGATGAACCCTCTCTGTGTTCCTCCGAGGAGGCAATGGTAAATGTTCTAAGGCACCCAGAGGAGGCTGAGTTGGTGGCAGCTGTTACAGGTGACATTAAACCCAGGGTCTGGGATTATATAGGACTGCACCGCATAAGAGGAAAGGAGGATCATCCCGGCCGCGGGAGAGGAGGATGCCCATGCGGCGTAAAGCAGCCGAGCCCCTCCGGGGAGTTGGTCAGGTGGCTCAGGCCCGGGCGGGGACGAGGGCCCGAGGGCTGGGGACATCAGGGTGACAAGGAAGCCCTTCCCAAGACGCTGACACGGCTCTCCACACCCGAGGCTGCATGGGCTCAATGTGAGAACGAGGGTCCTGGGAAGCGGGGCGTCCCTCAGTGTTCGCGTGCGATCACCGCCCGGGAAGGGAAGTGAAAGACTGTGCCCGGCTCGGACAGCGGCCTCTCGATCCCTACCCGGGGCCGGCAGCAGCGCGCGTGCGGCCGGCTGGGCGGCCGCCGACTGGATCCGGGCCTACCTCTGGCCGACTTCGGGCGGCTCCCGATGCCCCAGAGGCACAGCAAACTTACCTTCACGAAGCTGTCCGCGTCCGGGAAGCCCGGAAGCACCATCTCCCCGTCGGGTTTGGCCGCGCTAGTGGCCGACTGGGTCTTGGGCTCCCGGGGGCTGGGAGGCGCCATTTTTCCCAGCCTGCACGGCTCTTCTCGCGAGAGCGCCTCGGGTCGACGCGACGTGCGCGCACTACGCACGCGCAAAGTTCGTCTTCTCGGGGGACGTGCTGGCTGGGAGTGTGAGTTGCTTTTCGTCCCTGAGCGCCGCGGCGGGGGAGTTTACGTTTTCTCTTTAACCTCTTATCGTATCTTCTTGATAACCTTGTGTTTTACGGTGGGACCCGGGGGATCCAAGTATCCTCATTTAAGGCCAGCTCCTCGCAAGCTCGTCCCGTGCCCGCTTCACCCGCTTGGTCGTGTCTCCTGTAATGATGCCCTTTCTCCGCACAGCTGTGAGCCACCCAGGCTTCCTTGTAATGATGCCCTTTCTCATTCCTAACGGCCTACACGTGTGCTGGCATCCCTGCGACAGAGACACAAAACATCGCCGCACACCTCCTTCCAACAGCCGTCACGTTTCTCTTGCCCTTTTTAGGTAAACTACTGGGGAAGGCGTTTTGCTGCCACACGGGCGGGCCCTCCAACTCTCTTGACCTCCTCCAATCAGTCATTCCCCCCCATCTGCACCGCTGGAAGCACTCTTGCTGAGGCACATATGGGGAACTCACACATTTGTTAAGTGAACCTGGGAAGAGGGGCTTTTGTTCGGAGGGAGGCAGTTTTGGCAGCCCAGGAGATGGTTCGGAAGGTTAGTGGGGTGTAGCCTTTCTCCTAAGTTCAGGGGTGGCACACCTTTAACAATTCATTTGGCTTAGTCAGTGTTCAGTAAACATTAACAGATCCCATTATTCAGACTGCCCTATTAACAGGAATATCCTATTAAGAGAACACTCGTTTTCACTCTCCCCCCTCCCCACCGGCAGGGTACCCTGGCAGAACAAAGACCTAGCCTGGGTCATTTTTTTTTTTTTTTTAAACGTTTACTTATTTTTGGGACAGAGAGAGACAGAACATGAACGGGGGAGGGGCAGAGAGAGAGAGGGAGACACAGAATCGGAAACAGGCTCCAGGCTCTGAGCCATCAGTTCAGAGCCTGACGCGGGGCTCGAACTCACGGACTGCGAGATCGTGACCTGGCTGAAGTCGGACGCTTAACCGACTGCGCCACCCAGGCGCCCCTAGCCTGGGTCATTTTAACAACAAATGTTTTCGAGCACTTATTCCGTGTGGCTCAACCTAATACCACATTTCAGGCTGTGCTGTGTGCTTTACATGTATTATCTCGTCCTCAAAACAACCTTATGGGCTAGATCATACTGTTCTCCATACCGTCAGAGGAGGAAGCAAGCATAGATTGAATAACTGCACAAAGGTAGTTTGAGGTGGAGTTGAGATTTGAAACTAGGCAATTTGACACCACAGCCTTAGTTTTTTCAAACTACTTTACATGCCTCCCAGAGTTTTAAGACCTAACCTACAGGAAGGTACCAGGGCTTGCAAGGATCCTGAAAGTCCTTTGCTACATGCCTCCCTTCACACAGGGTTACGTGAAACCATCAGGGATGGATAGGTTAATTATGACTGTCCTTAAAGGTTTCCATCAGCTCACCTTCCTTGGGTCATTCATCTCAACAGAGTTGGAAGTTTTTGTTTAGATACAACCTGAAACCTGTTAGATTCACTAAAGATCTTAATCCCGGTGACTCATGTCCAAAGAGTATGTCTTTTCCATTGATAGCCACCATTTTCCCGAGTCCATTCATTCCCATACCCTTTATCTTTCACAGAAATGGTAATGTCACTGTAGTCCCTGATAGTGATTTCACGTAGAACCAAGAAAGTTATGGTGCCCGTATTTTCTGGAGCAGAATAGTTGATGCGTGGCGTAGAGTGACTATAGAAAAATCTAAGACAGGTATGAGGCTTTCTAACTGGGGGGGTTAAAATAGTATCAATATTTAAACTCATCTTTGCTTTAATACAGGAGTCCTCCAACAAATGTGTACGGAGCACCACTGTGGTCCAGGTCTCTGGCAGGTTTGGGGGATACAAAGTCTTATAAGAAATGGCTCCTGGCCTTGCAATTCTCATGCTTTCCCTAATACAGGTTCTCTGAACAGCGTTTATGACTCAGTATTTCAAACTGGGTAGCTGCGGCCCATGGGAATTTAGAAATAGGAAATTTACTTGAACTGAAAATGCTGTTCTTCGGAAGAACTCCTTAGGCATGCTCTCTCTAGAGGACTCTCTATATAGTGCTTGGCAGCTCCATGTAGAGTTCTCTCCTTCCCATTATTGTACGCCTCTTTAATAGGTCGTGTGGCTTCTAGTTTTCTCTTTACCCGTTTGACACTGGTTATGTTTTATTTTTTATTTTTTAAGTAGGCTTCACGCCCAATGTGGGGCTGGAGCTCATGACCCTGAGATCAAGAGGCGGATGCTCTACCGACTTAGCCAGCCATGCGCCCTGATCTGTTTTAAACACTACTCAGATTCTACTTCTGTTTTAGAACTTCCCATGGTTCCCTTTTGTTTCCAGTGTCAGGTTCAAACTCCTTGCTGTTGAATTGTGAGGCAGGCCACGGTCTGCCCCACACTCTACTTTTTAGCCTCCTTTTCGTTGCTATTATTCCTTTTGTTCTCCAGTGACCACTCAGCCAGATGTGCTGAACTGTGAGGTCCGACTGGGTGAAACTGCCGTTTTACATATCAAAAATGGTCTAAGACTTGCAATTCAATACAGTTCAAGTTCACACTTGCCATTCCTGCAGGATACTGTACTTTCAGACCGCTTTTCCGCAGAATGTCTTCACTTGCTTCATCTGATAAGCTCCCACTTATCCTTTAAAACCCATGGCAGATGTCCCCTCTCCATGAGGCTTTCCTGGCTCACCCGGTGGAATTAGTGCCCCCAGCAGAGGCTCACACCCTGGATGTGATTCTTCTCCCCACTTAGCTTGGCGGGAGTTACCAGTCCACTCCTACACGATGCTGACCCGCCTTGTCTGGCCTGTGAACATCCCAAGGAAGGGGACCATGTCACGAAGATCCCACATCCTGCATAGCCCTTAGTGCCACGTGCATAATGCTGACTATTGGAGGACTACCCGCTTCCTTTATGAACTTGTAATTATGAAAAGACACTCCTACATGTTTTTAAAATTCGGATGTCGTTTATTGGCACAAAAATTATTCAGATACAACATGGTGTCTAGAATGGCTACACTTGATACTTTGTGCATTTACTTTAATATTTCCTTTGCTCAGAATTCCCAGCGGGTACCAGACCTTCCCTCTCTGTGTTGAGCACCTCCACGACGGCATTTCTATTTCCAAGCCCTTGCTCTAAACACAGAGCGTTCGGACTTCACTGACAACATCCCAAAACCGTGCTGGGGAAGGCCACTGTGGGCCACCCTACCGCACCACAATCTCTGTGCATTTGCTCAGCTAAGGCCACCCAGCGACTGGAAGAAACCCCTCCTAGCGCTGGGGCCTTGGATTGAAGTGAGTTAAGTCGCGGCATCACGAGTGAGGCAGAAGACAGGCGCTTGCCACCCATTTTGGCCCATCTTACAAATGTTGTTGCCGTCCGCGGACCAGTGAGGTAACGGGATGGGTGGAAGTGACCAAGTCAGCTCCTCCCGATTTCTAACACGTGTCCTCCATGGCCTGAGGCTTCCTGACTGTGCAGAGTTTGCCATGTCCTTATCGGGAAGGACAAGGAGGCCATTCTTCCATCAGCAATGCTTATGATGAGTTCTCTTGTGAGTTAAGTCAAAACCCGTATTTCTAAGTTATGGATCTTCTGTTCCCCCAAATCAATGGCTTGATTTATGTAGTATTTCTGTGTTTACTGTCCTGGGAACCAAATCAAGCCTTGTGTTTCTGACAATATATTCTTCAACAGCAGCTAGAAAGTTGGTTCAAACCAACGTTTAATATACAGTAGTTCTTTTCATTTACATTTCAAGATATTTAACAAAGTCGAACTTCCTGGCCATGGTTGCGGTTTAGTGGAAGCATATCCAAAGTACAAAAGCCTCAAGAGAAACGCTGTGGGCCCTTCTGGGCCTCGGGTTACCAAAAAGGACACCTAGGAAGACAGAGAGAAAAGGAATATTTTAATAATTTGGGCTTTTTCAGGGCTTTACACAGATACACTGAAAGTGGAGAGACCAAGGTCTGACAACCCCTGGGGACATTCCTTGAGATCTCCCACAACTAATTGTGTCAGACACACTCATCATTTCCAGTCAAGGGCTGATGCCTGCTGCGGTCCCAGAAGGACACTTCGCCATCCCCCTCCCTCTCAAGTTTCTATCTTCAAACGTGCCTCCGGCAATTCATCAGAGCAGACCCCAGCGTGGTCCTTGAGGTTACAGTCCCAGAGCATTAATTAGTCTTTGCGTCTCCTGCTCTGTCACTGCTCTGGCTTCTTTTCTGTGGCCCTTCCCTCCATCTTTGAATTGACAGCAAAAAATCCAAAAAGAACCTCTCTCCCCACCCCTAAGGAAAGGGGGACTCACCTACTTTTCTAAACCACTTTTTAATGTAATTTTATTTCGGTGTTTGCCTTCCAAGTAGGCACCCGTGTTTCTCAAGTGGCTCCCTTTCTAGAACTGTGAGTGCACACGGTGAATACCAACTTTTAAAGAGATCTGACACTACGATTACCCTTTATGGATAACCCCCCCGACCCCAGGGTTTCTGCAGCTCTGGGACTGGGGCACAGGACGGGGCCCCACTGGCTGGTTTTAGCACAGGCGCTCCGGCACGCCCACTCACCAGCCGATGTAGCACTGGCATAGGTTTTCATGGGATGTTGCTTGCTTGATCAGCAGCTCAACTTGAGTGGGGACATCCAGGGTTTCGTCATGAGAAAAGTCCCGACCTAGGACAAGAGAAACAAAAACAGCTCTTGTGCACTTGGTTTTCAGCTCCGTCCTTGCCCCGGGGTCGGCTGACCTGTCTGTGCAGCCTGTATCAGGTTCTCCTTGCCTGTGAGTATGAAGGCTACGCGGTGGCTGGATTTTAAATTCACCTCCATGAGACATGAATACACACCA